CGAAGGCAACTTACCAAAGACTAGTGACTTCCATGTTCAAGGAATAACTTGACCGTACCATGAAAGTATACATCGACAATATGGTGGTCAAATCCAAGGAAAAGCATTCCTATCTAGCCGATTTGTCAAAGACATTCGGCATCCTTCGAAAGTACAAAATGAAATTAAACGCTTCTAAGTGTGCATTCGGCATCAGCTTCGGCAAATTCCTTGGCTACATCGTCAACCACCGCGGAATCGAAGCCAATCCAAGGCAGTTCATGGCAATTCTAGAACTAGAATCCCCTTGATCAATCAGAGGTTCAGAAACTAATGGGGATGGCCACCGCGCTCAACAGATTTATCAACCGTTTGTAGACACCCCATTTTTGACCGTCCTCAAGACTTGGACGTCACCGTTTGAACACTCGGTGATTATCCATGTTTGTGTTCGTTTGGAGTTCCTGGAGGTCTTGGCTACGCGCCTTGCCTCAGGATCTCCAAACTTGACCGTTTTATGTCTGGTTTTGCACCAAACACTTGTGTTTTGCCTTGAAAGGGGAGGGAATGCCTTGTGAGACATCCCCACACACCACCGGCAGTGGCTAGAGGATAGACCAACTAGTAGATGCAACGGCACATCATCAACGCGTAAGCTTTTTGGATGCCTACAGAGACTATCATCAAATTGTCATGCATCCAGAGGATCAAGAAAAAACTGCATTCCTCATCCCAAGAGGAACTTATTGCTACAAGGTCATGCCTTTTGGGCTAAAGAATGCGAAGGCAACTTACCAAAGACTAGTGACTTCCATGTTCAAGGAACAACTCGACCATACCATGAAAGTATACATCGACAATATGGTGGTCAAATCCAAGGAAAAGCATTCCCATCTAGCCGATTTTTCAGAGACATTTGGCATCCTTCGAAAGTACAAAATGAAATTAAACGCTTCTAAGTGTGCATTCGACATCAGCTTCGGCAAATTCCTTGGTTACATCGTCAACCACCGCGGAATCGAAGCCAATCCAAGGCAGATCATGGCAATTCTAGAACTAGAATCCCCTCGATCAATCAGAGGTTCAGAAACTAATGGGGATGGCCACCGCGCTCAACAGATTTATCAGCCGTTCCACAGATCGCTGCCGACAACTGTCAACCGGCAGGGAAATTGAGGAAGCCATACTCAAGGCCACTGCTGGATCTTTCAGAGTCGACGCGTCGAACGCAATCGGCATGTTCTTTATCCTTAGTTGGACGGTGAACAACACGACTGCGTCTGACTCCTCCAAACGCAGTCGTTTATCCGTGAGTGATTCCTTAAGGTCAGCTTCGCTCTCGGCGGGACGCTTCTCTCCCCCTCTGATCGGCCTCCTGACTCGACCGTTAGACTATCTACTCCATCTCAACCGTCTCAATTTGAGCCGTTTCTTCCACGATAACAGGCGGAGAAGACTCAGTCACCGCAGCAGGTTCAGAACGGATGGTCTCGGTCCTCCTCCAGGCGGGTATTCGTTCGGCGTTTTTCCTCTTTGCCAGTTGCATAAGCGATTCCCCCACCATGTTCTCAGGATACAAGCTGGGGAGATCTCCTAAATCAGTAAAAATATCTTCAAAGGAGACTTCCCCTCGACCTGAAGTGGATAGAGGGTTTGATGTACTAAGGCCGACTTCTTGAAAAGCCGAATTTAGAGCCTCGTTAACTTCTTCGGCTTCCAAAGCAGACTAACTCGGTAACTTCCTCGGCTATTGGTTCTTCGACCTACTTTGAATCAGAAGCTTCCAAACCAATCTGCCTAAGGCTTTTGAAACGGGGTAAGATAAGGGTCGTGAGCTGCTCTTCGCCCCTTGGAGTCAGAATCTTGTCCACAGCCGAAAACGTTGTGTAAGTCAGCTCATACCTCAGAAGTATATATTGTCGGCCGAAACCAGAACTTTCTTCAAATCGTTGCCTGCATAAATAAAACGTTAAGTACGTGGAAAGAAAACCAAGTAAATATAAAATAGATAGACGTAAAGAACTATATGGCCACCTGGTTCGCCTCTCCATCTAGGTATAGGATCTAGGCGATCTTCGCCTTCGCCGAATTCCCAGTTACCTCGGACAACAACCATGACATCATCAACTCCCTCGCCAGAGATGGCAAGCATAGTCACTAAGTGATAGTAGGTGTCCTTGGCCCTGAGAAAATAGCGCCCCTGCCGACCAGAAGATTTGGCCAAGGCATAATAATGCCGAATAGCAGGTATGCCAAGATTGATCCGAAGGCGTCGGTTCAACTCTATAATGCCCATTATGATTCGGAAAAAAATTACATTAGGTTGAGAGGGGATTAGACCCCAATGGTGAAAGACGACTCTAAGGAATGGGTGGAGGGGGAAACGGACTCCGCCCTCAGCAATTGATAGGAGAGGAAAGATGATTGTACTTTCATCAGTCCTCTCCATATCAAGGGTGCTGTCTGTCACGAGTGACAGATGGACATTGTCGGGAATGGAAAAATGACATCGAAAACCGAAAATTCGATCCGCAGAAATGAGGTCTTTCAAATGTTTTGTCATCCTAGCCAGTCTAAGGAGTACGCTAAACTAAAAACAAACAAGGAAATGGGATTCAAGATGAAGGAGAAGAGAACTTACAAGAAGCAGAGGAGACAATGAAAAACGGAAGGAGGTTGCAGAGGTCGCGAAATAGAAGAGGTATATCGAAAGGCAGACCAGGAGCTTTAAGTATTCAAAAAACATGCATTCGAAGGGACAACGAAGTTTTAAATCACAATAAATGAAGGAAGCATACGAAAGGGCGGGAAATTGTAATGATGATTGAAAAGCGTATACATTTTGACACTTGCATTGGAATAAGGTTAACCGCCGAATTTCTATTTTGACTTTTCAAGTTCGAAACCAAACACGCCAACTAACTATTGTTAGTGGGGTGTTTGGGAGACAATTGTGGAAGCTGAATATTAGGAGATGCAAAGAGGCCGAGTACACGTTTGGAAAATCAAGATGTATATTATATTCGGCCCCGTATTGTACCATCCAGAAGCTGAACATCCTAATCGGCCATAGAACCAGTTGAACGAGGAGCCGAGTGGGAATTGGTTTAAGACAAAGGGAGCCGAGTGAACAACCACATGGTGGATTAAAAGTGGGCCCAACCCTGAGGCCCAAAAGCGGATATAAATAGAGGAACATCAGCCAAAGAGAGGTATGTGAAAGATAACCCCAAGAAACTTGAGACATAAACAAACGTGAGACATATACAGACGTGTCCGTCGGAGTGCTAATTCCAGCACCCCCGACCGGAGTGTTAATCTCTTTTCAGGTGACAATCAAAGGGTCAAGAACGTCTTTCAGGATCCAAGAGTATTTCCAAACCACATTATCACATTTTGAAAAAGTCAAATTTATTCGATAATCATAATCACATGATTTTATCATGTATGTCTTTTAAATTAAAAAATTTATTTTTAAAATCATTGTTTATTTTTTCAAAAATAAATATAGTAAAATTATTGCAGTTACAATTATTGAATTACTTTGATTATTTTATAAATAATTTACACATAGCAACACACAATATCAACTATTTAATCGCATAGTGACATTGGTGATTAAGGCATGGCCCTAAGAATCTGTTCTCTTTACTAAAACATGAATCTTTTTCTTCTTGTCTTCTCTGGCAGGCATGGAGACTAGAACAAGAAGGGAGGCTATTGGAGCTGGTAGGTGTGACAATGGGCAATTCATTCCCCGAAGACGAGGTAACAAAAAAATGCATCCGAATTGGATTGTGTTGTCAAGAGTCCATACAAGACCGACCAACCGTGTCCTATGCACTGTTAATGCTCTCAAATAATTCAGTAATTGTACCTCCAGTGGGAAGACCTGGGTACCAATGCAATATAAATTGTCAAGAGATCATCAACTAAGACAGATTATTTTTGGAAATACTGAGAACAAGTGTTTCTCTGTTAATTCTATCACAACATCATTGTCAACACAGGGTGGGTGATTCTGTAGAGAATGCTCTAATACTGCCATATTTTTATTGATGTTGTTAATGAAAATAGTTGTGTGTAACAACATAACAATGTAACCATCGTAAATAAATTGTTAAGTTCTTACACTGTGTTTGATTAAGGGATTTGGAGAGAGATTTGGAAAGGGAAAGAAAAAAGGTATGTGAAACTAGGTGAAATGTAGGTATGTTTTATTCACATTTCACTTACCTTTTTTATTTCTCTTTCTAAATCCCTCAAATTCTCTAACTAAACACAACATTAATGAATTAAAAAGAACATTACGTAAATTCAATAATGTGATTAACACCATAAATATTTTCTTGAAATGTCAACTTTTTTTTCTCTAATTGAATGATTGTTTTAAAAAATTACAAAAGTGAAATTTAATACTTTATTTTCTTATTTTTGGACTGGCGATTCATTGTTACATCACATTATGATTAATATATAAATAAATAAATAAAATCCAAAATTAATATGCATTTGCCCATTACAGTTTCAGACCACCGCACTACCAACTGCGAGTCTGCGACTTATTTGTTAACCATTGGAAGCTGGTTTGGGGAAATAACCTCAGCCGAACTATTACGGTTTGTGTGGAATAAGGCCTTCTGCTAGCTCTGTCCTCGCTCCTTCGATCTGAATCATTGTCTTGAGTCTGTTTTTTTTGCACATTATTAAAATATATATATATATATATATTAGTTGGACTGTTGAAGCATGGGTCCATCATGAAAAATTATTTGGTGGTCTATAGTACTACCCGATAATGTCCTTTACTAATCACTAAACATCTATTTTTTACTATTCATATGTGATTTATAAAATTGTAAACTTTACTTCATCAGTTATACCATTTTTAGCATACCACATTGCCATATATTTTGGTCATTTTAAGAAAGATTAATTTTATGTCATTCCATCTATAAGTTTAAAATTTGAAAAAATTGCAAATCCGTAATACAGTAAAAGATTATTTGCATTTTCATGGAGGGGTGACTAACCTCAGCCGAACTATTACGGTTTGTGTGGAATAAGGCCTTCTGCTAGCTCTGTCCTCGCTCCTTCGATCTGAATCATTGTCTTGAGTCTGTTTTTTTTGCACATTATTAAAATATATATATATATATATATTAGTTGGACTGTTGAAGCATGGGTCCATCATGAAAAATTATTTGGTGGTCTATAACACTACCCAATAATGTCCTTTACTAATCACTAAACATCATATTTTTTACTATTTATATGTGATTTAATATAAAATTGTAAACTTTACTTTCTTCATCAATTATAACATTTTTAGCATACCACATTGCCATATATTTTGGTCATTTCAAGAAAGATTAATTTTGGCACCGTTTGGGAAGAAGTTGGTTGGGCTTTTTTGGCTATTTTAGCCACAAAAAATAAAATAGGCTATTTTAGCCATAACAAACAAAACATCACATTCAACCCATAATCATTACACTCTTCTCTCACAAAAAAAGTCAAAAAAGCCAAAAAGTCAAAAAGCCCTTCCCAAACCAAGCTTTTTAGCCCAGACTAAAATAGTCAAAAAAATCAAAAAATCAAAAAACCAACCCACTTCCCAAACGGAGGCTTTATGTCATTCCATCTATAAGTTTAAAATTTGAAAAAATTGCAAATCCGGAAGACAGTAAAAGATTATTTGCATTTTCATGAAGGGGTGACTTACTGTGTACATGGTGCAAATCTTCCATGTGTATGGTGCAAGTCTCACTATGTGTCAGAGTTACACGACAAAAAATTATATTTGTAGTGCAATAATTTCTCCACTGTTTCACTCATTTACAATTTCTCCTCAAAATTTTTTTATGGACTGGAAATTATTTCTCTACTTAAAACTTTTTTTTGTAATTCTTTCACAAAAAAAAAATAAATAAATAAATAATAATAATAAAAATGCTTATGCAAGGCACTAATTTATTTTCTCTAATTAAAAAGCAAACAAAGTAGCTAATAGAAGAAGTAGCAAATAGGCCACACAAAAACTGAAATAACGATATGGTCCCTTACATTCCAATGTGAACATTGGAGAATAACCAGACACATGCAATCACACAACTAGACCAAAAACAAGGTAACCCGTATATATTCTCTGAACCAAAAATTATAAAATAACTTAAATCATTCCTCACAAACAACCAACTATTTTGTCTCTTTGTATCAGAGAATGAACAGAAAAGGTAACAAAAATCAGAGTATATACACCATGGTCGTGCATTGCACAAGAACCAAAAGCACAAAAATAAAAAGGCAGAATTGAACAACAATGAAAGCAAAGTTTGCCTCTTTTGCTTTCTAGTGCTTCAAAGCATGTGCCATTCAATAATCCAACGAAAAAAAATAAAAATAAAAGTAAAAAACCCATTATTTAAAATAACAGAAGTTCAAATCTACCCAAAATTAGAGCAGAATGATTCAAATCCACAAAAATAGTTGTTATGTACCGAAAATTTTTATCTAGAAAACCGTTGAGAATTTTAAATATAGTGTAGATTTATACCAGCGTGAAACACAGTCAAGATGAATTTCATCTGTTCTGAATAAAGAAATTTAGCACGTACCAATGCTGCTCCACAAAATCATGAAATAAGCTTAAATTTTTTAATTTCTTACCGTAAATTATTTCTTCTTGTTCTTGTCCTTCCCATTGAAGAAGATCGAACCTAAACCGAAAAGATTACCCGAAGGAACATTCAACACAGGATTGACTCGAACGCCATTGCCATGAGAAGCATAACTCTTCTTCAATGGAGGTTTCTGGTGACTCCCCGAAAACTGCGATGATGGCTTCGACGCCGAAACAGAGGATGAATTTTTCTGCGAATTGTGCTTGTGGGTATGGTGGTGATTTGCCGAACCAGTTGAATTGCTTCGAGATAGGAGTGGCAGAGGACACAAGCTCCGCCCATACCCACTGCCGCAATTCAAACTACTGCTCCGCTTGAACCTCCAAAACGACTTGGAGTTTTGCTTCTCATCTGATCCAGAACTCGTCAATTTCGCCTCCTTCAATCCCTCATTGTTTGAAGTCTCACAAGTTTTGTTGACAATGTGATGATCCGGAGTTTGTGGTGGTGGTGGTGGTGGTGGTGGTGGTTGATGGGTTTGTTGCAGTAGAGCCATTTTTTTCTTGATCTGGATAGGACGAATTTTCCCGTCCGAGAAAAGCTCGTCGGCGGAAGAAGATTGTTGATCGTAACCATCGCGAATGCAGAAATTGAAATCAATGCCGGACGATGAATTCGATCGGAGGACGCGTTGTTCGATCGGTGCGATATCGGATTGGGAGAGATCGTGAGAGAATGAGATTCTAGGACTGGTAATCAGACCAGGGCTAGAATTTTCAGAGCACAACTCGACTGCCATTTTCTGGAGCTTTCCGGGAAAATTATGGAGTCATTGAAAACAGAGAGTTGGGTTTTTTATGTTGCAAGAGTGGAATCAAAATCCCAAGAGTCGAAAAGGAAATAAATTGCACAAAGTTCGAATATTGGGAAAAAGAGGAATCTTTATTTTTCTCTTCGTCTTTCTGCGAGTGGAATTGAATTCTGTGATGAGAATCAGAGAGAACGAAGCTTCGAAGTCATATCGTAAAGCGAAGACCGAAAGGTATTGAGATGATGATGACTGGTAATAAGGTCTCTTCTCTCCATGGAAACTTGAACATGAAGACTAGAGAGAGAGAGAGAGAGAGAGAGAGCGCTTGAAAAGTAACTAACTCGTAACGGAATGGAAAGAGATAAGAGACGTGAACATATTAAACTTTAGGTAAATTACACTGACACCCTTGAGATTTATGTTTATTACAATTCTCTTACCTTTTGGAAATTACATCTTCTCCTGAGGTTTAAAGTTTCATTACAGATTCTCCCTTAGCAATTTAATTTTTTTAAATACCAATTTTTCCCTCACTGGATAAATTACATTGACACCTCTCACATTTTAGAAATTGCAATCCCCTCCCTAAGGTTTAAAGTAGCATTACCAATTGCCCCCTGGTTAGTATTAGTTGAAAAAAAAAAATCATTGAAAAAAAAAATTAATTGGAAAAAAATTATTTGAAAAAAAAAATATTTGAAAAAAAATAAATTGAAAAAAAAAATTTCTTAGTAAAATTTTTAAATTTCTGTTTAAAAACCAACATAAACTTATTTTTTGAATTTAGGTTTTTTTCTCAAATTTACAAACCGAGACAATCATTTATAAACCAAAAAAATTATCAAACAAGTTTTTATGACAGTTTTTTAAATTTTTGTAAATATAAATTGAAAACTGAAAACGAAATAATTACCAAACAGGCTTCAGATATTAAAAATGTCGTAAAATTAACAAATAATTAAATAAGTTTCCAACGTAAGTAATAACTTGTCAAAAGATTCTTAGGCTATGTATAGTTTGATTTTTTGAAAAAAAATTTAAAAATTAAAAATTAACCTGGCTAAGAAATAAAAAATAAAAAATAATTATCATTTTTATATAATTTTTATCTTTCAAATGGTTAGAAATAATTTTTTACAAATTAAATTGAAACAGCCATACGTATGTATATAATCTGTCCAAAAGTTAAAATGATAATTATTTTTTACCCTTAAATGATAATTATTTTTTTATTTTTTATTTCTTAACCAAATTAATTTTTAATTTTAAAAAAAAAATTCTAAAATCAAACCATACATAACCTAAGAATCTTTTGATAAATCATTTCTTACGTTGGTAACTTATTTAATTATTTGTTAATTTTATGACATTTTTACCATATGAGGCCTATTTGGTAACCATTTCGTTTTCAGCTTTCAATTAAAAAATGACATAAAAACTTATTTAATAATTTTTTTAGTTTATAAAATGATTGTCTCAGTTTGTAAATTTGAGAAAAAAACGTAAATTCAAAAAATGAGTTTACGTTGGTTTTTAAACAAAAATTTAAAAATTTTACTAACAAATAATTTTTTCAAATAATTTTTTTTCCAATTAATTTTTTTTTTCAATGAATTTTTTTTCTAACTAATACTAACCAAAAGGACAATTGGTAATGCTACTTTAAATCTTAGGGAGAGGATTATAATTTCTAAAATATGAGGGGTGTCAATGTAATTTACCCAATGAGGAAAAAATTGGTATTTAAAAAAATTAAATTGCTGAGGGGGAAATCTGTAATGAAATTTTAAACATGGGGAGATATAATTTTCAAAAAATGAGAGGAGAACTGTAATAAAAATAAATCTCAAGGGTGTCAGCGTAATTTATCCTAAACTTTATTTCAGGAAGGTAGGTAAAGATTAAAATACTAAATAATACACAGAAAGAGAGAGATGATTAAATAAATAAATAATAATTTTCTTTGAGAATTGGCTAAGAAAAAGAATTTCCAGTTAGAGACGAACATGAGGACATGTTTATGTCATGTCGTTGTGAAATGAGATTTTTGAAAAAATAATTGTAAATTAGTGAGAAATTTTATAAAATATTAATAAAATTGTAATATTTTTTATGAATATATAATTATTTTTTTTTAATTTCCTTAAATATAATTATCTTTATAAATTAACATCTTTAATTGAAATGGAAAGGAGAGAAGAGGCTACGGAGTGTAATGCAGCTTTTAATTTTACCACCAAATTGGCTTTTAGAGCTCAACTAATTATGGTGTTATTATGTTGAACTCCATGTCAATTTTAGTCAGGTTACAGTTGTGCACATGTTATGAGGAGCAGATAATTCTGCCTATCGTTTTTAATTCATGTCCTGAACCTTTTTTTTTTTTTTTTTTTTTTTTAGGGCTGGTTTGGCATAGACTATATAATCCATCTTTTTATCTTTTTATCTTTTTTCCATCACATCACCTCTCTACTTTTCTGCACATCTTTTCGTAAAAAGACAAAAAGTGCACTTTTTTAGAACACTCCAAACCAACCCTACCTTTTTAACTCTTAAATTATCATCTTTTTTTTTTTCTATTTCATTCTTAAACTATCGGTCGTCTATTTATTTCTTAAAACTTTTTATTGGGTTTTTTATTTCAACTAATTTAGTCTAAGGGGAGACAGTTGTCTAAATTAATAAAAAAAAAAATTATATAACTTGATATTTGGCTCATTAGACCAACTAATCTTAAAAATCAGTCACGCTGTCTACTTGTAGGAATTCTAATTAAAGTCAAGACTTTGCCTTATATGAACTAACTCAAAAAAATTGTTTATACCTAGGTTTGATGCACTCAAGCTTACAATTTGTCATATATATCATACGTTTGATGTAATTATAAATTTCAGTATAAAGTTAATAATAAGATAATAATAAAAATTATCAAATATTTTGATTTAAAATAAAAAGACAATAAAAATTAATTCATTCCATATGAAATTTTTATACAAATATAAAATTATTTTTTATATAATATTATCATTCTTTGTAAAGGATAAGTAATGGCCCAAAGGCCACTATGTACTATTACAATTGTCGATGGCCAACTGTTTTCCATGGAAGGGAGGGCATCTGTGGTTTTTTTTTTTTTTTTTTTCCTCTTTATAATGTTGAAGGTCAATTGATGGACCAATGTAACAGTGGACAATGCACCATAGGCCTAGCCTAACATGTACTACTTTTTTTTCTCTCTCCTTTCAACACTCTTTTTTTTCCACTTTGGTCACTTGCCATGTGATCTAACTCTAAAAGAAGAAACCAAAAACATCAACTTTGGTCACTTTGGTCAGTTGCCATGGTCTCATTTCTTGTTGCCCCTTTTTTTGGCTCCCTCACATGGTTAGGTAGGTAGTTTTTTTTTTTTTTTTTTTTTGGTAAAATAGAGATATCATAAATTAAGAAAGAGTAACAGAAACAGTCCTAGGGTATGAAGCCCTTACACCATCCTCAAGTAACTGTTTAGACAGGCAAGAAGGAGTGGAATTAAAAACAACAAAACTATCAATGGCAACACTGCCTTGATTTGCTAAAATGTCCGCACACTTGTTGGCTTCCCGAAAGATATGCTCAACCGTGGAGATTCTCAACTGCCTCATGAGATACCTGCAATCACAAAGGAGATTACGATAATGGTGCCGACTAGATGGTTCATGTAGTAGTAACTTGATCATTTATTTTGCATCTGATTCTACATGAATTTCCAATAAGTGTAAGTCTGCCGCTAACATCAAACCATCTCGAAGAGCCCATAATTCAGCCTCTAAAGCTGAAGCTGTGCCTATATTCCTCATGAATCCTGCAACCCACCTGCCCAAACTATCACGAATAATGCCACCTCCTCCTGCTCGGTTAGGGGATGTTTTTGAAGTTCCATCAACATTTAACTTGAACCGACCTTCCCAAGGAGGCTTCCAGCCAATTGAGACAGTGTGTACAACTTTGGATGGCAGATTTTTATCAGTGACATGCTGCCATTCAATAGCTCGAGCCACCACCAATGCTGCACTGAAAGGGGATGGGTTGGTTTGGAAACAACAAGCATTACGGTGCAGCCAAATTTCCCAACACACAAAGGGGAAGATTATGGTCCAATTTACAGAAGATGGGTGTACAATTTTAGTTTGACAATTGAGTTTGATCCAAGAATGGAGGTCAGAGGAGAAAGAAAGGAGTGCCGTTGGGGAAATACCGATACGAAACCAACATTGGGCTGCAAATGAACAATCCCTAAGGACGTGAATAGTGGTCTCGGGAAATTGTTTACACAAAGGGCAGAGGTCATCCTGAACAATACGCCTATGGGAAAGTTGGGTTTTAGTGTTGACTTTTTGATGAAGCGCACACCAAAGGAAATGAAGGACTCTCGGGGAGGCCAGGACAGCCCAAAGCCAGGACCAATTAGGAAGAGGCAGTGACGCCTGAAAATTACGGGTTAAAAAATAAGCGGAGTTGCTTTTGAAATTCCAATCGGTAGAGTGTTTCCAAACTCTAATGTCAAAACCCGACTCAAACCAAGAGGGAGATAAGCTCGTAATGGACCCAAAAACGTGAGGAGGAAGAACGAAAGAAAGGGCTGGAAAATTCCACTGATTATTCACCCAACAGTCACGGACAAGCAAGGAAGATTTGTTAGAATTTAACAGGCCTTCAATGCAATTCCTAATTGGTCCACACTTAGCCCAATCATCTAACCAAGAGCAAGTGTTTAGTTCCATGGTGTTTCATGCTAGTGGGATTTTTTCTTTTTGATATTAATACATTTTCATATATTAATTAGAATGAAAATCATACAAAAAGTTTAAATTTTAAAAAAATCATAATTGTATTATTCAATTATTAATATGTATCACTCGATATTCTTGGACTATATTATTATTTAAAACTATAATATAGTCGGAACATGAAATTATCATAACTTGCTAGTGAGCAAATAACTAGGGTTGGTGATTTGGTAAAGGGATCAAATAGTTGTGAGCCTGTGATTTGGTTTGGTGCACCCACATGTACTACGGACTATAGACTGCAAATGGCGTAGCTACTGTTTTTAAGGTTGTAGGTCTATATATTCTCTCCTGGTGTTTTGTTTTCAAAACTATTTTTTAGTTTTTTTTTTTTTAAGTAAATTGTTTTCATACTTTAGTTAAATTTTTTGCCATAAAAAAAAAATTAGATGCACCTGAAATGAAAAGTAAAGTATATGTGAATAAATTTTAAAAAGTTCATCATTAAAATAAAAATAAAAATAAAAATTTCATCACATTTTTTTTTTTTTGTGTGTGTGT